TACTAAGGTCTTATCTTTGTTCTCAGTGATTTTCATGTACTCCTCATAAGCAGCTGGTAAAGATGCAATGAGTTTGGCGACATGCTGCTTCAGATGCTTCATGTCGTCATTCATTTTGTCAATGAATTTTTTCACTTCTCCCTGAAAAAAGGACCCGGATTTCACTCAAACGTCAATAACGCGAACAATTATAGTGAACCTACAGTGCGATTATACTTTTTAGCCCATGCTGCAATTTTTTCCTGTTCTTGAACAGTCGTCAGATTCCAGTCAGCGATTATTTTTCCATATTCAATTCTACCTTCGTTGCTAACATTCTTAAGAAATGGCGCATCCCAGTAGTTCCATCTGAGGTGATATCGCGAAGCGACCACGGCCGTTGTGACGAGAAATAGGGTGAGGAAAGCTTTCATCCTGGAAAGTTGAATTTGGCTAGAGAATTAGTCTCAGAAAATAGACAGAAACCAGAGCAACAGATTGTGGGGAAACCTCTGCACTTCTTCGAAATTAAAATTTTCTACAGAAAGAGAAACAAAAAGCAGCAAATTGTTTTTAAGGGAGGAATTTTTGTTTGCATCCAGCCTTCTCGTGAAAGTTTCGCAAAGCGAACTGCCGCCAGAAGCAGCGGATAACAATCAAAAACAAAAACAGCTAGTCTTCACAACGAGTCCCAGCGTTTCCTTCTAATTTTTGCTCTGATCTGTGGAATTTTCTTCGAAGGCCTTTCCAAAATCCGCTTTTCCCTGTCCTCTATAGGTTGCTCTTTAATACTACAAGGTCGAGCTCTGAAACAAATTGTACGCAACAGACGGGTGACTCACAGGTCCTTCAGCTGTATGTGTCAATACTTCGAGAATTTCAAAATAACTTGTTTTTATCGATACTGAGAAAAAGAGCAAAAAAATGCGTTTTCAACCCGGTAGAGGAATTTTTCATTCAACTAGAACCGGAGCTGCAAAAACATCACCCCTCTGAGCGCATTTTGGAAATATTAGTGATGGAAAGGCCGTCTATGGTCACCTCAATCCTGACTCGTGGCTTTAAGTTTATCCAATAAAGGTTTGCGAGCTAGAGCTTCAAGAAAAGGTGTCACTGCAAGCTGGGAACAAGTGAGCTTGCAACGTGGTCGATCAGCTTTTATAAAAGTTTGCAGCCGATGTCACTTTTCATACAGGCTCTGTAATAATTTATAGTGGGAAACACAATTGCATTCAGCCGCTTCCTTATAGTACTATTGTCGGCAGCAACCAAGCTTTCCAACATGCAGCGAAGAATTCGCTTATAATCAAAAAAGGAGCGTGAAGTGGTTGTTAGCGCTGCTGAAAAACTTTAATCACCAGCAAGTTCCAACTTCACTTCAACATCACTGCTTTGGCTTCAGAACTCTGAGGAAACAGCGCACGCAAGTCCCATGTCTTGGCCACATTCTAAGATTCAACAACTTTCATGAATCTGAACGGCAACTACCGAATATAGAAGAAAATCGTTTTTTGAAAGAATGGACAGGGACTTCCGCCATTGTTAAAAATTCCTTCGGAATGAGCCACATCATTCAACGGAGCGCATCATTTAATGCGAATTGAATTATACAGGGTGGGCAAAAATTACGGTAACAAGAACGCTAACAAAACATTTCGATTCTGTCGAACCTAAAAAATACATCTAGCTGAGAAGACCTTGGAGAGAAATAATTGGCCACACCGGCAAGATAGACCGCCTGTACACAAAGGAAAGATGCGGAGCATTGGTTTTGCAGAGCTTTCCGAATTCATGACATTGAACGAGTGGTAACCTTATTCTCCCATTTCGAAGCAAGCTGGGTTGTATTTCTGAGTGCACGTCTTTAACAGACGACGGTGACTACAAGTATCCTTCACTCATCGTAGAGTCTAACCCGTCGCGACCGCGCAGGATTGCGCAATAGCAGCAGCGTCAGAAGATTTTTCTTCAATAAAATCCGAGTGAAGGGAGATTTCCTCTGCCCAGGGCTGGCGTAGATGAGCGAGGGTATGAAGATTCTTTCCATGGAAGAAAACTTTCCAAATTCCATTTCAAGCCCTGCAGCCACAGTAATACCATTGTCCCGAGTGAGAGCTTTGTCAGCCACCGGTGGCTGACATTGTCACGAATGGTAACCAT